CTGGATAACACTTAGCAAACTTTCACTATTATGCACCCTAGAGTTTCTCCCTGCCTCATCTTTTAGTTTTTATTGGAAAAAACAATAAACATAACAAATATTATAATGCAAGACTTATAACCTATACAATCACATACACATCAATAAACTCATATTGATGAATAATACAATCCATTCCTATAGTCCATTAATACATGCATTCTATTGAGGTTAAAAATTAGCACACCTATATTCTAGCACACTTCTCAAAATGTCAGGCTCCCTGTTTAAATCCAGACCAGAAACTGACAAAAGGTATCAAATTTTAAAGAATTTTTCTTTTATTAATCCTTTAAGCCAGTGGTCCCCAACCTTGGGCCTCCAGATGTTCTTGGACTTCAACTCCCAGAAATCCTGACAAGCAGAGGTGGTGGTGAAGGCTTCTGGGTTTTGTAGTTCAAGAACATCTGGAGGCCCAAGGTTGGGGACCACTGCTTTAAGCAGTCTCAGACTGCACCTACATTGCTGATTTGTACTGATGTCACCTGCACTGTATTCTAAATCAATTTAAAGTAATGTGGTAGTCATGTAATATTTGGGTTAAACTTATAATCCATTTTTTGTTTTGCTTTGTTTTTGACTTACTATTTCAATCTCCAGTCGGGGTGTTTTTGCTTAACTTGCTTTCCTGCTTCTTTCCCTTTTCTTCCTCACCACTCCTGAAACAAACTACGTAGTTCACTGAGTCAACCAGAAAATTGACAGATTCCTCTAGTCCCACCTCTTTTCCCCTTCTTCTTCTTTCCTTATGTGAATGGGTATGTGCATGCATGCGCGCGTGCACACACAGACATACACACACAGTGTGGGCTTCTCAGCTCAGAGACAGTGACTCTGCAAAAGGGGTTACACAAAGAGATTTAAAATCCTGGCAGGGAGTTGGGGAGGGTGCAGCAGTAGCAACGTTGAGCCAGCCTTTTGGCTCCAGAGAGACAATCACTGTTCCAAGCATGGAGGAGCTTCGAGCTGGCTTTCTTTCTTTCTTTCTTTCTTTCTTTCTTTCTTTCTTTCTTTCTTTCTTTCTTTCTTTCTTTCTTGATTGATTGATTGATTGATTGATTGATTGATTGATTGATTGATTGATTGATTGATTGCAGTTTTGAAGTGGCATATCGATGCAGTTCTAAAATAATAATAATAATATTTTTAAAAAGAGAGTTCTTTTCTAATTCATCAAGAAACTTTTCATCCTGGCAGCCAACATGAGAAAACTCTCAGATTCACAATTTACAATAACATAAGCATTCGCAAATGTCAAAATGATTTTCTTAAAGCGAGATAAGTATCGATGCAAAATAAAGAGCCCTCTTGTCCATTTAAAATAACATGCTTTCTGACTAAAAAAACCTGGACAACACTCTGATTAATGTAAAATGATTTTAAGTGTGTTAAAACCAACACAAATATAAGGATAAATGGATGTGTAACCATGCCTCAGCAAGTAGTTAATTTCTTCATCAGTGGTACTACCCATATCCTATCCGGATATCTCAGAGAAAAGAAGAGAAAGAAAAGTCCTTGAATTCCTCCCCTGGACTATCCATTCTGAAGGAAACCAACCGTGAGTGCTCACTGGAAGGACAGATCCTGAAGCTGAGGCTCCAATACTTTGGCCATCTGACGAGAAGAGAAGACTCCCTGGAAAAGACCATGATGCTGGGAAAGTGTGAAGGCAAGAGGAGAAGGGGACGACAGAGGACGAGATGGATGGATAGTGTCATTGAAGCTACCAACATGAATTTGACCCAACTCCGGGAGGGAGTAGAAGACAGGAGGGCCTGGTGTGCTCTGGTCCATGGGGTCAGGAAGAGTCGGACACAACAACTAAACAAAAATAACAAAAAACTTCACTCAGGGTTCTAACTCTATTTCTGTCACTTTTTTCTTTTGCTTTTTGCCTGCCCTTGACAATTTTAAGTGCTTTTTCTGTCATCCATCTAGGTTTTTCTTTTCTTTTCACTACAGGAATTGCATTTTTCACTACTAATATCTCTGATTTTATTCCACAGTTCTTCTGATACATGGTCAATTGAGTTTAGTAATGTAAATGTTTTCTTTATGTGGTCAGGAATGTTGTTTGTTTGTTTGTTTGTTTGTT